TAGAAGAAAAATACAGGGTGTTCTGGGTTAGAGCCACCGCGTTCCCAAACTTTCAGCATCCCGTTCGCCTACATCCCACAGCAAACTCCACACCCTATAACCCCTTTATCTAGGGGTTCTACCTTGGACCCTTAAGGTTGCACCCTTGGGTTTTGGGGCCCCGTTTTAAGGATTCCTAAGAGAATCTAAGGGAATATAAGGGCCACATTAAGTATGTACAACCTTAGGGATACGAGCCTTCGTCCCTTGACTTTAAGCCCCCGTGAGCCTCTCTAAGCCCTAAACCTTAAACCCTCTAAGCCCCAAACCCTGTGAACCCTGAACCCTAAACCCTGAACCCTAAACCCTAAATCCTCTGAACCCAGTCCCCATTTTGCCGGAGCAACGCGCGAGTGGGATTAGTTCGCTATCCGCCATGCAGCCTCATGGTAGAGACTGCGGCTGGGCCCATGCCAGGGAGGAGGAGCTTTTCGAGCTTTGTTTAGGGTTTAGGGTTTAGGGTTTAGGGTTTAGGGTTTAGGGTTTAGGGTTTAGGGTTTAGGGTTTGTCCGGCAGCCCCGTCACTTGTGCCCACGCGATCGCGGTCACTTGTGCCCACGCGGTTTCGGGTCACTTGCGCCCACGTACCCCGTCACTTGTGCCCACGTACCCCGTCACTTGTGCCCACGTACCCCGTCACTTGTGCCCACGTTTCTGGGGGGGTGGGGGGGTGGGGAGGGGGGGGGGATAAGAATAAGCTTGTTTGAGGCGGTCAACACAACCACATCCAGTCAACCACATCCAGTCCCAACGGGTGAGGAGGAGGGGGGGGGAGGGGAGGGGGGGGACAAGAATAACATCCAGTCACCCGCCCTGCAACGGGCGGGGGGGAGGGGAGGGGGGGGGGATAAGAATAAGCTTGTTTGACGCCGGTCACCCGCCCTGGGGGGGGCAACACAACCACATCCAGTCAACCACATCCAGTCCCAACGGGTGAGGAGGGGGGAGGGGGGGGGAGGGGGGGGGGGGACAAAGAATAAGCTTGTTGACGCGCTCAACACAAACGTTCCAGTCACCCGCCTGCAACGGGGGGGGGGGGGGGTGGGGAGGGGGGGGGGGGGGGATAAGGAATAACCTTGTTTCATGCCACACACCACACCCAGTCACCCGCCCTGGAAACGGGGGAGGGGAGGGCGGAGGGGGGGGCAAACACAACCACTCCAGTCACCACATCCAGGTCCTAACGGGTGAGGGAGGGGGAGGGGGGGGGGAGGGGGGGGGGGGGGGGGGGGGGGGGGGGGACAAGAATAAGCTTATTTGACGCGCTATCCAGCCACCCGCCCCCGAAAAGGGGGGGGGGGGGGGGAGGGAGGGGGGGGGGAATAAGAATAAGCTTGTTTGACGCCACACACCACACCCAGTCACCCGCCCTGGAGGGGGGAGGGGGGGCAACACAACCACACCCAGTCAACCACATCCAGTCCTAACGGGTGAGGGAGGGGGGAGGGGGGTGGAGGGGGGGGACAAGAATAAGCTTGTTTGACGCGCTCAACACAACCGCATCCAGTCACCCGCCCTGCAACGGGGGGAAGGGGGGGGGGATAAGAATAAGCTTGTTTGACGCCACACACCACACCCAGTCACCCGCCCTGGAAACGGGTGAGGGGAGGGGGGATGGGGGGGGGTTTCGAGGGGCAAAAACGACTGTTGTTGACCAACGCGCCCTGCACGGTCAGCCGCAGGGGGAGCCCTGCACGGTCAGCCGCAGTGCTTGGGAGGGGGTGGAGGGGGAAGGGGGCGAGGGGGGGCTTGGGCGGGCTGGGCGTCTACAGACATCTGACCCAAGGGGAGCCTTCCACGCAAGGCCTCAGGTCAGTTGTTTCTGGGTCCAGGGTTCGGGTTTGGAGGGGTAAACAAACGACTGCTGTTGCCCGATGCGCCCTGCACGGTCAGCCGGAGTGCTTGGGAGGGGGTGGAGGGGGCGGACATGAAAGGCATTCAAGGCTTGAGGTTTGTAAGAGCTTGGGGAGGTTTTGGGCTTTCGGGTTTAACAGCATGGGCCTGTAAGGTCTTGGGACTTTAGGGATTAAGAGCTCTGCGGTTTCAGGTTACTTAAGTTGGTCTCGATTCAGGCTTCCAAGCTTAGGTCTCTGGGGGTCTCATATAATATAGGGTGACATTGATGAGTACATGTTTTGATAGCGATGCTCATGATGTTGGAGCCAGCCCACCCCTGTCGGGAAAATGAAACGGGCAACCTGAGAAAACTGCGTCCACTTGAATGGGGTGACAGGTGGCAGGGGCAGAGAGCCTGCCGGATGTGGCAGGGACGCGACTTTTCAACCGACAAACACCTCATCCTGTGGCCCTGCCATATTTTAAGACCGGGCACAAGTGACAGGTCTGCGTTTTGGCGGGAGGTGGCCCAAAGTGCGGCCCTGCTGTGATTTGAGGCACGTACGCGGGCACAAGTGACCCGCGTAAGGCGGGCACAACTGACCAGCCTAAAGCGGGCACAAGCGACCGGTCTGCCGTTTGTCCTAAACCCTAAACCCTAAATCCGAAACCCTAAGCCCTGACCCTAAACCCTGAAACCCTGCCCCGTGAGCCTTTTAGTCGCTAGCTTAGGGGTCTAGGGGTTCTCAAGACTTTCCTTGTTAACTCTGAACCCAAAACTCTAAACCCTAAACCCTAAACTCTAATAAACCCTACATGAAGGTTCAGGGGTAGTTTGAAGTAAGCTTGTGAGTACTTTACAAAAGGCTAGAAGATAGGCTGCCCTATTTATAACCCTACCCACTGATAACTACCCAGGATACTTCAAGAAAACCCTACTTTTGGTGCCCCACACGATTAGGAGGGGTCTAGGAGTTTAGGGTTTAGGGTTTAGGGCACTGAAACCCTCATAGGGGCAGGGTGTAGGGCTTGGGCCTACTCGATACAGGTAGGTACAAGCAGGGTTAGATGCACCTCTGTCCTACTGACGACCTTACTTCTGACAAAGTATGCATAACCACTCGAAAACCTCCCTAAACCCAAAAGCCTGAACCCTAAGCCCACCTCCCCCCCCCCCCCCAAAAAAAAAATGGAAATAAAAAAAACTAAACCCCTCTGACCCTAAACCCTAAACCCAAACCCCTAAACCCCAAACTCCCCCCCCCCCCCCACCCCCCCCAAACAAAACAAAACAGCCAAACCCCTCTGACTTAAGTTCTGCATCGAGGCAGGCCCGCAGCTCCCGGCAAGTTCCACATGTCGGAGGGCAGCAGGCTCGCGGCCCGCGCAGCTTGGAATTTTGGGCCCCGAGGGGTTTGGGGTTTAGGGTTTAGGGTTTGGGGTTTGGGGTTTAGGGTTTAGGGTTTGGGGTTTAGGGTTTAGGGGTTTGGGGTTTAGGGTTTAGGGTTCAGAGTTTGGCGCTTCACGTCCTTGCGAGGTCCCGGCCTGCGACACATTGATCACAGCAAGGCCCGCAGCAGACTGTGTGTGGTGCTGCATGCGGCGAGTTTAGGGTTACGGTTTGGCTACATAAAGGTTCATAGACAGTTGTACGTGGAGTTATGAGTACCTTCATTAAGCTTACAGTACAGGCTACCCTGCTTAATTCACTACCCATGAACCTTCACGTAGATTCTGGACATTGACTAAACCCTCAGCCCTAGGCCCTAAACCCTAAACCCTAAACCATGAATGAACCCTAAACCCTAAATATACCCTCTGTAGGCAGCATGCCAGCTGGGCAGCGCAGTCTGTGCGTGGCTGCTGTCCCCGGTGGCAGAGGCATCCTGGACGTCCTAGACTCCGACGGCCAAGACTACTACGGTTTAGGGTTTAGGGTTTAGGGTTTAGGGTTTAGGGCTTAGGGCTTAGGGCTTAGGGCTTAGGGTGTAGGATTTGCCCAGTAGTCCCCAAAGCCTTGCCCCCTGCACTCTAAACTCCAAACCCTAAATCACAACACGAAACCCAAAAAAAACACCCCCCCAAAAAAAAATAAAACATAAAACAATATCATAATAATAATGATGATAATAATAATAATAATAATACCGAGAACATCCTAAACCCTAAACCCCTAAGCCGTAGACCCCTAAGCCCCTACATCCCCGAGATTCCCTAAACCCCAAAACCTCCTACCCCCCAAAACCGTGACCTCTAAATGCCCTCAAACGCTAGTTCCCCTTAATCCCCTCAGCCCCCTAATTCCCCAAGATCCCTTAAACCCTAGACCCCAAACCCCAAACCCTAAACCATAAACCCTAAACCCCTAAACCCTAAACCCTAAACCCAGGAGGCCCTTTGCGAGAGCAGGTGAGACGAGTCTGTGGTGACGGTCCAAGGCAGCTCCTGGAGCAGTTCTTGGGCAAGGATGTGGTGTTTTGCTTACGTGACCCTAAACCCTAAACGCTAAACCCTAAACCCTAAACCCTAAACCCTAAACCGTAGTTTTAGGGTGGTCGTGGTCGAAGTCATCCTTCCCCAAATGCTCACAGGAGCCTACAGTGAACCTCCCGAGCGCAGGGAGAGTCCTGCCCAAGGCCGGGTGTTTAGGGTGTAGGGCTTAGGGTTTAGGGTTTAGGGTTTAGGGTTTAGAGTTTATTTCGGTTATGTGTACGTATACGGTCCTGTCAGAAAATGTATGGTCCCTTTTGAATTGGGGTACCCTAAATAATAAGGGAAGCCGTAATATGTCCCCAAAGTAGCATCATCCTTATGATAGGAACCTCCCAATAAGGACCCCTTATACAGTAAACCCCCATACAGAGAGCATGAAGTTGCTTTTTTGGGTCCGAGGATTTACGAAAGTAGGGGACCCCTGAATGGACCCCCACGTAGTAGGATTCCCTTATCAATACGGCAATACGGTACACCTAATTTCGGAAACCCCCATTTAGCCAGGGTTGGCTTGTGGCCTGATCTTAAGTATTCGGGAAGGTTATGGTGCCAGTGGCAGAGTCTAGGTGGAGTGCTGTGTGGGGCGCGCAGGATTCTTCCTGTTCCACGCTCCAAGGTAGGGCATCTGCCTCTCAGTGTCTTCCTCCGAGCTTCCCGTCTTTGCTGGAAAATCCATTCTCGCCTTCGGCCTCGGCACAACAGTGGGCTGCCGGTTACAGTAAACCTATATGGGGGGGTGTCCGAAAAAAGGGGTACCTTGTTGCGGTCCAATTATAAGGGAATCCTACTGGGTAGGCCTCAGCCCTGGGCCCAAAAATGTTAGCGAATTTACAGCTTGCGGGCATGTCTTGTTGTTCGGGCGCCTCTGCTTCTTTTGGCGCTCTTTCTTTCCTCACAGACCCATAGAACCGCTGAAAAACCATGGAGCTACCATGGTCTTTCAGCAGTCACTTTGAAAGAATTCCAGTCCAACTATTAGGTCGCGCGCGCGTGAGTTTCCCGTGTTGGCTTGGGCGTCCTAAATTTGCTTGGACCTAGGTTTTCGCAGAATTTCAGGCGCGAACAAGCGGTAGTTCAAGGTAGTGGAATCTATTTCTTTTTCACGCAATCCAATGCGTTTTACAGCACGTCAAAGCCCTGATATCTCACAACACAGAAGGCCCTGTTTCAGGGCGTGCTTCGGCAGAAGGTCGAAAGTTTTCGCAGAATGGCGGGCTTGCCAGGTATGCGCGTGCAAGCAACGCTGAGTAACTTTTGGCAATGGAGCTGACGGTTTAGGGTTCAGGGGGCGACCTGCTGTCGAACAACCGTAAATCCTGAGCCTTCTACGTGACAGCCAAAGCGGATGCGTCTGGCCCTAAACCGAAAATCCTGAGCCTTCTACGTGACAGCCAAAGCGGGTGCGTTGCTGTTGAAACGTAATCACCCCCCCCCCTCCGCTCCCTCCCCCGCACAAAATGGATGCATTGGTGATGAAACGTCATCATTGGTTATGACACCCCCTCCCCCCCCCCCAGAACTGACGAGCACTGTCCAGGCAGCGAAGCGACCTGGGAATCTGCGCGCGCGCGCCACCAACTATTAATTACTGACTGGCTGCCAAAATCTAAGCAGGTCCCATGGCTGAAACGAACTGGCTGCAGGCCTACGATGCCGTGGTCAAAGGAGATCACTGAAAAAAGACCCGGGCCCTACGGAATTTTTCGACGAGCTCACCACAGAGACCGCCATAGACCAAGACTTGCGGGAGCCTCTGTGAAAATTGGGCCGGGTTAGCCGTCCCCCTGCGCAGGTGGCACACATCGCAACAAGTTCCATGGCATGACTGCACTCTGCATGACACACCGGATGTTCACAACGTTTGCCCCCCTGTCTCTGGTGCGGGAGACCTGCCTCCTCTATTGCACCTGCGGGAGACCTGCCTCCTTCAATCCTGAGCCCTATGGGAGATCAGGTTCGGTCCGAACATGGTCCCTCACTTCCTATTGGCAACCTCCTTGAGCCTCAAGCTGTACATGTTTTATGGGCTGTCCTGCCCCCCTCCCCCCCCCTCAAGCAAATACCCAAAAGATGAAAAATGTCTCTGACGATGACACAGCATATTAAGGGTCCCTTAAGTTGGGAAACCCCCATATTGTATGCAAGTGGTCGGGCTATAAATCCGTTGAGAAAGATGCCTACGTGGAGCTGATATGGATGTCGTATTTCGTACTTGGTTCTTCAGCTTCAGCGCTGCTATTACTCTGCTTCCCCGTCTCCCTATATCGAGTTGAGGGATAGGGTTTGCAGTTGATGATGCAAGGGTCTCTGCGAACTTACAGCTGCACACAACCCTGCATATAGAGCTTAAGCACAAACTTTGAAGCCTGGCGGGGTTCAAGTTTCCGGGCGAAGGGGCTCAGGGCTCTAGGGCGTCAGGGGTTTGGGGGGCGGGGGGTGGGGGGGGGGGAGGGGGGGGAGGGGGGTTGGGGTTTGAACTTCTTGAACATCATCGGTTCGGCACAAGATGGCACGCTGGCTACTGGCTTCTCGCACTGCATCAGGTTGACTGTTTAGACCCGAAGCCCAAGCCCTAGGCCTTCAACGCTGCACCCCAAACCACAGGCCACATGAGTGTGATGATGATGGCTTGGAGGGTTTTCAGAAAAATGTGCATCCACTTTATTTACTAGTTTACTTCTGTTTTTTTTTGGGGGGGAGGTGGTCCTTTTGAAGGTTCGATACTACAGAATTATATACGGGTGCCCCGATTTGAGGCGGCAATGCGCATATCTATTGAAGGGCCGAGGGCCGACCGGAAAAGGTCCGGCAAGCAGGAAGATCGCCACACCGCTATTGAGACGAGTGTGCAGAAGCAGGGCTTTTAGGGCTTAGGGCTCAGGGCTCAGGCCTTTCTGTTTTAGGGTTTAGGGTTTAGGGTTTAGGGCCTTAGGGATACCCCAAAAAGCAGGTGTAGCTTCGGAAGCTAACAGGTCCATCTTGGTACCTAAGCACCCCCTAAACCCCCTAAACCCCCTAAACCCCCTAAACCCCCCCAAAACCCCCCAAAACCCCCCTATCCCCTAAACCCCCTAAACCCCCCCTACCCCCCTAAACCCCCCCAAAAGTTCCTCCACCTGGGGCCTACCGACCTCGTGCTGTGCGCGGTGGGCTTCATTGTGCTGGTACACGTAGCCGCTGGTCTGGACAGGGTTTAGGGTTTAGGGTTTAGGGTTTCGGGTTTAGGGTTTGGGGTTTAGGGTTTAGGGTTTAGGGTTTAGGGTTTAGGGTTTGGGGTTTAGGGTTTAGGGGTTTGGGGTTTAGGTTTCAGACGGTGGGCATTGGGGCAGCGGAAACCCTCAGCTAGCCAAACTCCATTTGGGGGGGGGGGGGGCGGGGGATCTTAGCAAGTAGGTGCCAACCCTAAACCCTAAACCCTAAACCCTTATGAATGTCTTAAAGACCCGAAGTCGGGTTCTCCTACTTCACAACCCTACTAGAGTGAACTGAAGACTTTGTGAGTTTGGGGTTTGGGGTTTGGGGTACCACTCCCTCAACCCCAAAACCCTAAACCCTAAATCTTATCCGACAGGCCCCAAATAATGAGCTCGGCGCCCAGATGCTGCAAAGCCACAAAGGCAACTCGCAAAAGTCAACCCTGAACCCCCGGAAGCCCTCAACCCTCCAAAACCCCTAAACAAACCTGTATGAACCCCCCATCCAACCCTGAACCCTCACCCTAAACCCCAAACGCCCAACCCAAAACCCCAAACCCCAAACCCTAAACCCTAAACCCCAAACCCTAAACCCTAAACCTCACACCCTAAACTTCAAACCCTAAACCCTAAACCCAAAAACCCTCTAACCTCGAGGCCTGGAACTCGTGGCTCCGCCCGTGCTCCGCAACCTTCTGATCGACCACCTCGGGGGGGGGGGGGGGGTGCGCAGGGAGAAGGTTTAGGGTTTAGGGTTTGGGGTTTAGGGTTTGGGGTTTGGGGTTTGGGGTTTGGCGTTTAGGTCTTCTATTTGTTGCGCATTTGGGGCTTTACCTTTTGGGGGGGGTCTCTATATCAACTATAAGAGCCCCAAAAAACCAATCTGTTTGTTTAGGCCCTATGCTACCACCACGACACCCCCTCTGCCCCTGCACCCCGCCCCCCACCCCAACCCCCCAGCCCCGCCTCCCCCGCCCCCCTTTTGCACCCATGCTCCCGCCATCAGCTATCAGAGCTCTGGTGTCTCTGGCAGCAGGAAAGGCAGCTTCCAGGGCAAGTATGACCCTTTTAGGGTCCAAAGGAGAGACAATTGCTATTCCCTCAAGCTAACCCATGGAACCCCAAAAAGGGCCCTGTATAGACTGCTGTCCGTTAAAACCAGGGGCTATGTGGGGTGCGTGTTTGTCTGGGGGAGTGTAGGTGCCTGGGCTTTACAGTACATTGTAGTCACTGTAGGTTAGGGTTGTGGAGAGGATGGATGGTCAAGAGGCTGTTCGTGCACCACCTGACCTTGCACGCCTTGCGGCTGAATCTCCTTCTGCATGGTGGTCTGCTTACGACCACAGCAACCATCGCACGAGCAGGCGCAAGCGGCGCACCAGAAAATCGAACCCACCATCGTGATGATGCTGCCCGCACAGCAGAGGCCAAAGGCGCCGAGAAAGACGCCGAGCTTTCCTTCGAAAAAGTGGGTCAGCAGGCTCAGGGGGGTGGCATGCCCAAGGCCGTTGCTAAGGGTCGCGTCCATAACCCAGGTGTCAAATCCACTGGTGACTTCGCACGTTGCTGAGTAGCCCTCCCAGAAAAGTCGCCCAATCTGGTGGAGCTCCAGCCCATCTAGACTGAAGTCCCTCTGCTTCTGGGTGTAGCTGTCGCAGCTTCTCAGGCGGCTCCCGGGTGACCAGAGAGACCCGTAACGCTCGGCAGGATCGTCGTATTCACATTGGAATTGGAGAGAACTGATGTGACTTGCGCAGTCAGTCCCTCCGAGGGACCAGAAGGTGACACCGTGATACGGGTTTGCTACAGGGAGGCTAAAGTACCTTCGCCCATCGACGAGGAAGAGGTCGCTGCTCACGCTGGCGGACTGATCTGCACCTATGCCCCAGAACAGGCCACCCAGGAGGACAAGCCCGGCGCAGATGGCATGCACCAGAAGTTTGCAGCGCAGACTGCAGACGCAGGTACGCATCCTTGGTCCGGCTGGATGTCGGTAAAGCAGGCTGGAGCCAACATCCTGCAATGACTCATGCTGCCCCTCAATCCTCATATTCACCTACACCCCTTTCCGACGAGCTGGCTGTTTGAGCTTAACTGCCCTGTGCTGGCTTCTTCCGCCCGTAAGCAGCAAGCCTAATCCTTTGGTAGGGTTGACAAAGGCTTACGCCCCAAGTGCCCCTGACTTGTGGGCGGTAGGCTCCTTCTTAATGTTCTTGCGGTTTGAAGCGTTAGTGTACCCGGTTTGTGGTCATTGCTTTGTGCTCTCCCTAGCCCTAAACCCTAAACCCGAAACCCTGAACCCCCTAAACCCCAAGCCCCAAACCCGAAACCCTAAACCCTAAACCCCAAACCCCAAACCCTGGCCGCCTCCAGCAGCATGGACTTGGTACAGACCGGTCTGCCATGGGTGGTGTCGCTGTACAGCACATGCCTGGCAGCTTCAAGGGCGGGCCTTGAGAGTTTAGGGTTTAGGGTTTAGAGTTTAGGGCTTAGCGCTCAGGGCTTGGCGTTTAGGGTTTCCTCAACCCTAATCCGTCTCCGGACCCTGCAACCCGAGACCCCCTACACAATCCCCAAACAACCCCAGAGCGTTCGCGGAGCGAACCCCGGGTTCCCAGGCAAAAACCTGGAACCTCACACGTGAAACGCTTGGTACCCTGCATGAAGGCTCATGGATAGGGTTACAAGTAGGGTTACAAGTAAGGTAAGCTACTTCATGCGTCTACGTGGACACCACCTTAAGGGGGCTCATAAACAAAATGGAACTTCAAGACAAGAACAGCTAGACCCGACAGTCTCCTAGGAACAAAAAGGGGTGCCCTTTTTGGGTTTAACGGGTCTGAAAAAGCCAACCGAAACGCTAGGAACAAGGCCCTACTCTGGGTCCTAGACAAGGGATTTTCAACCCTGAACTCCTCACAGGACCATTCCTAAGCCGAACTCGATTTGGGGGCCCAGGATCTTCTTTAGCCTTCGATGGGGGGTTTAAGGCTTCTTGGGTCTGGAGGGCTTCTTGGCCTTGGTTCCAGAAGCCCCGAAGCCATTCCCCGAAGCCCTCGAGTAACACGGCCTGCCTCACAGCAGGCTTGATGTGAGATTTCGGTGTCTAGCCCTCAATCCGAATTCGGGGATACTAAGCTGCCCAGTAACCTAGGCTTAAATAGGGTGCCCTTTTTCCAAAAAGGGAATAAGGGTACTACTGGGCATCCTAGGATATAGGTTTGGACCGAAGCAGCCCACTTCTGGGTGTTGATCCAGGCGCTAAGCCCTTCGGGGGGTAGTGCGTGTTCCTGTTTGCTTCGGGATGCGAATTAAAAAGCGCACATGATTTCGGGCAACCACATGGGCAGCTCTCTACATTGTGGTCCCCTTTGGGTACCCGAAACAAAGGCCCCGACCTAGAACAGGACCTGAAAAGGAGCTCCTAAATTTAGAGAAGCCCCCCAACATTCCAAACCTTTCCAATCCACCCTACCCTACCCCGACCCCCAAACAATGAACAGAACCCCCCCCCCCCCACCCCGGCCGCCAGAAAAGGACCACCATCCCCGAGATCTGGACTAAACAACTTAGGGTTTCGAGTTTAAGGTTTAGGGTTTTAGGGTGTTTGGGGTTTTTTGGGGTTTTAGGGTCTGGGGTATTTAGGGTATTTAGGGCATTTAGGGTCTTTAGGGTATTGAGAGTATTTAGGGCATTTTAAGGGTATATCGGGTATTTAGGGTATTTAAGGGTATTTAAGGGTTAGGGCCACATGCCGGATCTGCGTCTGCAGCGAGGTGAAGAGCTTGGAGATCTCACGGCCACCTCAGCATCCCTGAAGCAAACCCTTGGAAGGTTTAGGGTTTAGGGCTTAGGGTTTAAGGTTTAGGGTTTAGGATTTAGGGTTTAAGGTTTAGAGCTTAGGGTTTAGGGTTGAGGGTTGAGGGTTGAGGGTTTTGGGTTTAGGGTTTAGGGATACCTTCCAGAAACTTTCCGAAGACTGCAAGGCATCCAGTCCAACGGGCTTGGGACATGAAGGGCTTCAGGGCTTCGGGGTTTTGTGGTGTGGGGGCCCAGGCTTCAGTGTCGGGGGCCGAAGGCCTCAAATCTGAATCCGCATCCTGACCCACGCGGCGACAGAGAACACAACCAAGGAACACCCAGACTCTAGCCGAGAACCATGAATGTAGGAAGCCGGCTATAGGGTTCAGGGTTTAAGGCTGAGGGTTCAGAGTTGAGGGCTCAGGGTCTAGGATTTTTTCTGGGCTCGGGGATTTGGGGATTTAGAGCTCAGGGTGTAGAATTCCTTCCGTGCCCAGGCCAAGGCGCTGAAGCCATGAATCCGGGAAGCAACCGTCGCCATGGCAGCCTCGTCAACCTCCTCCTCCCTGGGCGTGCTGATCGTGCTGGGGCGTGTCTTACATGGTTTACGAAACTAGGGGACCCCCCAAAAAAAGATCCCCAAACAGGGCTCCCCTTAAGGTAACGACCCCATTCAGGTACCCCGAATTTCGGAAACCCCCCTATCTAGGTTTAGGGTGTAGGGTTTAGGTTTGTTTTGTATTGTATTTCTGAGCAAGTGTTGCCTTTAAGTTCGTGCCAGGTCTTCTACAACACGAAACTAAACCCTGGATGCGTTGTTTGGGAACCTAACCCAAACCCTATAAATCCTGCACCCCTTTAACCCCTACATGCATCCGCGCTCCACGTTCTCGACCCCTTCGCCCCCCCTCGCCCCCCCGCGTCAAACAATCCCTGAAACCCTCAACCCCAAACACCGTCAACCCCAAGCATACTGAACCCCAAACTCCGAACCCGAATCCCCTGCACCACCAAAGCCACCAAGCCCACTAAACCTACTGAACCCACTAAACCCACTGAAAACCACCATAAACCCCCTACACCACCTAAACCCACTAAACCCTCGAAGCACGCGAAGCCCCAAGCACCTGTGCCCTCCCTAAACCCTAAACCCTAAACCCTGACCCCAAACCCTAAACCCCAAACCCTAAACCCCAAACCCTAAACCCCAAACCCTAAACCCTAAACCCTAAACGCCTGGGGATCTGGAGTGGCTTCGGGCTACCAGGAAGCCTGGGCTTCAGCGGCTCCAGGGGTTTGGGGTTTGGGGTTTGGGGTTTAGGGTTTAGGGTCATCAGGGGCTTGAGGAGTTTTGGGGTGTTTGGGGGTTTTAAGGTTCATGCCGTTGAGGGTTCAAAGGGTTTTGGAGGTTCAGGGCTTTAGGAGCTCTAGGGGTTTAGGAGCGTGAGGGTTGATGGGGCTACGGGGGTTGAAGGGGTCTGGTTCGGGTTTCTCGGGTTCAGGGGTTTTTGGGGTGGTCTGAGTCGGGGCGGGTTGGTGGCCAAAAGCACCACAGGTGGGTCTTCCGGTGGCAGGTACAAAGACTGCCAGCTGGGCTGCGTGGCACTTTGCCTGAGCAGGTCTTGACCGGGCAATTTGTTGGAGGGTTGCTTGAAGGTTCACGGATAGACATACTTAAGGTCACAAGTAAGGCAACCCATATTATAACCTTTATAAGGTACGTCCAACCCCTCTCCCCATTTATAACTTCCCATGAACCTTCAATTAGGGTTCACTCCCAAACCCCAAATCCCCAACCTGCTAAACCCTAAACCCTAAACCCTGAACCCTAAACCCTAAACCCTAAACCCTAAACCCTAAACCCTAAACCCCCAACCTCCAAATCCCAAACCCCCCTTCCCTCTCGGCCGCGGGACCGCCTTCTCAGACCATTCGGCTGGTCCCTGGGCTTCTGGGCGCTTTTGCGACGCCCTTGCATGTTTTTGGGGGTTGAAAACGGGACTCTCCCCTAAACCCTCAGGTTTGGGTCGAATTAAAGTGTTGGGTGAAACCGAAACCCTAAACCCCCAGCTAGGATGGCACTGAAAACCCCTGAAAACTATTCCTGAATGTGATCCTCTTAAACGCCATAAGGGAAACTACAACATGTCCCCAAAGGCCTACCGAGCCAGTTAGGGATATGGAACAAGTAAACCCAACCCTAAACCCTAAACCCTAAATCCTAAACCCCCAGTTAGAGTTCAGGGATATAGAACAAACCCCACATCCTCCGGCACTGGGTCTTCGGCGGCTTCCGCAGCATCGGGGAGCCAGAGCTGGCGCAAGCGGAGGTGGCTCTGAATGAGGGTTTAGGGCTTAGGGTTTAGGGTTTAGGGTTTAGGGTTAAGGGCTTAGGGTTTTGGGTTTAGGGCGTCGTTGCAAGTACAGTACTTTCTACATCGGCTTCCTTATGAACAGACCACCTGACAAATACCCAAACTCCTCAGCCCCGAAGGCTCAAATCAGCGACGCCAATTTAGCACAGCCTACCAATTCAAGATAAAATAAACCTAAACCCTAAGCCAAAAGCCCTAACCCCTACCCTACTTGGAGCATGGGGGGGAGTTGGGGGACCCCCAAGCACTAAGTTTAGGCTAAACCCTAAACCGGGTTTGGGGGTTTCAAGGCCGCCAAAACTCCACCGCCTGCCACCCAAAGTTTCAGGGTATGCTGCAGGGTTTAGGGTTTAGTGTTCAGGGCTCAGGGTTTAGGATTTCGGGGTTCAGGGTTTAGGGGCTAAGGTTTAGGGGTTCAAGGTTAAAGGGTTAGGGTTTACGGAGTTCGGGGTCTAGGCCTTTAGGGTCCCCTCAACCCTAAACCCTATAAACCCTAAACCCTAAACCTAAACCCTAAACCCTAAACCCTTTCCCCTAAACCCTAAACCCTAAACCCCAAACCCTAAACCCTAAACCTAAACCCTAAACCCTAAACCCTTTCCCCTAAACCCTAAACCCTAAACCCCAAACCCTAAACCCTAAACCCTAAGCCCTAAGCCCCAAACGCCACCTCACGGCGGGGAGCTTGAGCGGCTTGGCGATGTACTTGTCGTAGTACAGCTGGACCATGCCCTGAAGGGTGTAGGGTCTGTAGGGTTTAGGGTTTAGGGTTTAGGGTTTAGGGTTTAGGGTTTAGGGTTTAGGGTTTAGGGTTTAGGGCTTAGGGTCTAGGGTTTAGGGTTTAGGGCTTAGGGTTTAGGGTCTGCAGGGTCTCGGGCTTAGGGCAAGTTACAGGGCATAGACCCCTCAGCCCTACATCCGGTTTAGCCACTTCGGGGGCCCCGAGCCACAAGGCCCCAAGCTGCAGCAGCTAAGCTCTCGAACTCCCTTTGGCATGCTTCGGTTGTTACCCTAAACCCTAAACCCTAAACCCTAAACCCTGAACCCTGAAGCCCACAACCCCAAGCCCCTGAACCCGAAACCAGTTGGGGCCTTTCGGGCGTCTATGTCCGGCAGTCCGAACTCAACGCTCTCGTCCAAACGATCGAGAATGGCCTGAGTGCGGTTTAGGGCTTAGAGCTTAGGGTTTAGGGTTTGGGGTTTGGAGTTTGGGGTTTCGGGTTTCGGGTTTAGGGTGCAGCATGCGTAGGTCTAAGGCTTCGGGCTGAGTGTTAATGGCTTAGGACCTTCAAACCCCGAACCCTGGCCAAGACCACTTCGGGGCTTGGGGTTCAAGGTTTGGGGCTTCGGGTGTGCTGCACAGATGTCCCAGAAGGGTCCCGGGGGGTTCCGCCGGGCCGGAGGAAGAGCGAGGGCCATGGGCTGCCTAAGGCTTGAGTTAGGGCTTGGGGTTTAGGGTTTAGGGTTTCGGGTTTGGGGCTTAGGGTTTAGGGTTTAGGGCTTAGGGCTTAGGGTTTAGGGCCTTGGGGTTTAGGGTTTAGGCACGTGCAACTGATTTGGGCTTTTGCACGAGCCCCGCGCGCTGTCCAAGTCATGCGGCCGATTCGTGGCGATGACCTGGGCGATGCCCGTTGGTTCGGGAAGAGGTTCTACACTGCGATTGACAGAATATGCCGATGCTCACAAAGGTTGGCGGAAGCTCCGCGGTTTGTTCGTCCCGATGCTATCGTTATTCATAGCTTACTCATGCCAACCATATTACGAGGAGGATGATGAGGAGGACAACGACAATGGCGATGGCGAGGGCGATGGCCATTCTGATGATATGGGGAGGAGGATGCGGAGGAGGAGAGGAGGAGGAGGAGGAGGAGCAGGGCCGTCGGTATGGTTGCACTCGTAGTCATAGTGGTGGCAGTAGGCATAATCGGATTTGGTAGTGGTGGAAGTGTTCTGCTGTTTTGGGTCTTCCATGAGGGCAGCTGTCAGGCTCCTGCAGCTCATCTCGACTAGATGCAGCATTCTGTGTTCATCATAAAAATGAGAGGAGGAGATGAAACAAGCCCAACTTGAAGGTATGAGCCTTCAAGTACACCCTCCTATGTCGGGTCAGTCAGGCCAGTCTGAGCATCCCAGCAAGCATGAACTGAGAGGACGGTGTGCCTCGACGCAGGGCTGGGTTCAACATACATTCCCCTACTTGAAAGGTTCATGAGTACTTGTACGTAGGGTGTAGGGTTTCGGGTTTAGAGTTTAGGAAGGTTCATGGGTAGTTATAAGCAGGGTGTTTAGGACCTTGATTAAGGCTCGAATATGTTGTCTTGTAATATAGGAACCTTCAAGTAGTAACAACCTCAAGAAGATCCTCGCGGACCCTGTCCCAGCAGAACCGACTGCAATGCGAGGTTTGAAGATGATCCCACATGCGACTGGACAAAGAGAGCAGACAAGCCGTAGCTATACTGACACTAAAGACCAACAGAATATGTCGTGGAGGACTACACGAACCAACAGCCACAACAACGACCCTAAACCCCAAACCCCAAACCCCAAGCCCTAAGCCCTAAGCCCCAAACCCTAAATCCTAAACCCTAAACCCTAAACCCTATACCCCAATCCCCCAACCGGCCCTATACTGTTTTTCGACACGGAAGAGCCCTCCCAGCTGTGGCGGCCTGTATGATACAGCATCCTTGGCTTCGTGCATGCAGGGGCCATTAAGGTTTAGGGTTTAGGTTTAGGGTTGAGGGTTGAGGGTTGAGGGTTGAGGGTTGAGGGTTGAGGGTTGAGGGTTGAGGGTTGAGGGTTGAGGGTTGAGGGTTTAGGGTTTAGGGTTTAGGGTTTAGCGTTTAGGGTTTAGGGTTTAGGGTTTAGGGTTTAGGGTTTAAGGGTTAAGGGTTAAGGGTTAAGGGTTAAGGGTTAAGGGTTAAGGGTTAAGGGTTAAGGGTTAAGGGTTTAGGGTTTAGGGTTTAGGGTTTAGGGTTTAGCGTTTAGGGTTTAGGGTTTAGGGTTTAGGGTTTAGGGCTGAGTTCATGGTCTGTCCGTCCCTTTCTAGATTTGCTCAGGGTTGTGCGCGGTCACTTGAATGTGCGGGCTAGGTTTTTGGAGAGACCTTGCAGCAGTTCTTGAAATTAGGGATTCTGGGGGAAGAAAATCGGGATCTTAGCCTTAACCCTAAGCCCTAAACTCTGAACCCTAAACCCTAAACCCCAAACCCTAAACCCTAAACCGGATGCAACCGTCGCCCATCGTGGCAGCCGGGCGTCGTTGTCAATGCATTTCGCATCGTTTCGCTCATGCCTCCGCAGCAGAGGGAGGGCCGCCAAACACTCCCCTAAAACCAAAACCCAAAACCCTAAACCCTAAACCCTAAGCCCTAAACCCCTAGAGGGTTGAGGGTTGTAAGCGCTTGCCCAATGGGACTGTGAAATGCCGAGTTGTTGGAAGTCGGGGGTCGACTTTCGGCAGGCCAATGGTTTAGGGTTTAGGGTTCGCGAAAGCCTAACCCCCAAAACCCTAAACCGTCCCAAACCCTAAACCCTAAACCCTAAACCCTAAACCCTGAACCCTGAACCCCTAAACCCCTAAACCCCGAGCCACTTCAGGGCTAGGAACTCGAAAGCCTAAGCCCAGAGTGTCCAAAGGAAAGAAAGGGGCACCCGTTCTTGTTTACTAGGTTAAAAAGGGGGGCCTAACCCTTCTTGCCTCCCAAGCCCTGACCACTAAACAATTTAGGGGTCTAGGCTTGAGGGATTAGGGTCTAGGCTCTAGGGAGGTGTGGGTCGCCAGGCGCGCGCGGGGGCTTGTCATCTTGGGGGCGGGGGGGGGGGGGGGATGCGAAACGTGGTGCACCCTGACAGTTAGGGCTTGCATCCTACAGCCCTCTGGGTTTAGTTTCGGGTCTAGGGTTCAGGGGTCTAACGGCCAAGAGGGTTTCGATGGTTCGGGGGTCGGGGTTGGGGCTGTTAGGGGCTTATGGCTGCTGGGCCCCTGAACCCTGAACCCTAAAACCCTAAAACCCTAAAACCCTAAAACCCTAAAACCCAAAAACCCTAAAACCCCAAAACCCCAAAACCCTAAAACCCTAACACCCTAAACATGTAGTGCACGTTGCCGGGCCTGAGTTCTTCCGCGAAGCCAGAAAGGCATCGGCCTCTCAACGGTCTTCACCCGAAACCCTGACCCAACTAAGGGGTTTAGGGTTTAGGGTTTAGGGTTTAGGGTTTAGGGTTTAGGGTTTAGGGTTTAGGGTTTAGGGTTTAGGGTTTAGGGTTCAAGGGAACTATGAGTCGCCCTCAGGCCGTCCTATAATATAAGCCCATGACTAGTGTTGCTTCTTGCCTACACCCCAGGCTTGCGGTCTAAACAGCGAATCTAAGGGCCGCACTTCGAATCCTAAATCGGAAAACCGCTGTTGGAGTTCCGAGTTTGGGGTTTGGGGTTTGGGGTTTGGGGTTTGGGGTTTGGGGTTTGGGGTTTAGGGTTTAGGGTTTAGGGTCTAGGGCTTAGGGTGTCTTCCTTGAGGAGGGGAGAGGGGATGAGGGGGAGCAGGGAGGGGGGGAGGGAAGCGGGGAGGGAAGGGGGGAGGGGAGGGGGGAGGGGAGGGAAGAGGGTTTGGAGGTTGAACAGGTGCGGAGTGACTGGGTTTGGGTTTACGGTTCAAGGTTTAGGGTTTATTGTGAGTGCAGCACTGTTGCACAACAACGCAGACGCGGCCTCGTCAATGAAGAGGAGCACTCCTCTTTTACTTCTGTGAACCCACCTGCCCAGAGGCTTTAGACGCAGTTTGGGGATTGAGGTGGAAAGGGGTGACGGCGTGAGTCGTCCATAAATGTCGAAACGTACCTCCGAGCTGCCTGCGATCAAAATGGTCGACATCGAGCAACTGTGCCCTAATGCAATATAACAAAGCCACTGTTGGGGCTAGGTATTTTGACCTACAGTGGACACAAAGGGTTTAGGGTTCAGGGTTGCAGTACTGTAGGACTATAGGCGGCTTTGGAGTGAACTCGCTCCTCCAGCCCGAGAAGCCCAGAACCCAAAATCGTGGGCCTGAGATGCTGAGACACCCTGGTTGGACAAAGCCACCACTGCAGGGTACAAGGGAAGGGACGGAGGCTGCGAGGTTCTCCGAAGCTACTGGAAGAGCCCAGATTTTCGGTTAAGGGTTTCGGGGTCTGGGGCTAGGGCTTACACCCACAAAGCGTCCGGTGTCTTGTTTTTCTCAGGATGGCACGGTGATGATGTAGCAGTTGCATTTTGAACCAGGCACATCCGACAGACCTGAATTCATGAAGCCCTGAATCCTGAAGACCTAACTCTGCAAACCCAAACCCGAAGAGGGTTTAGGGTTTAGGGTTTGGGGCTTGGGGTTTAGGGCCTTCTCCAAGGCGCGGAACTATCGTGTAGACTCGGAGAGGGCTGTCTAGGAGTCGAGGCTTCAGGGCTTGGGGTAATCGGCTTAGACCCGCAACCCTAAAGCTCAAAAGGCAGATGCGGGAGTCTGTTCTGATCGCCACCAGTCTGTTTAGGGTTTGGGGATTCGGGTTTAGGGTTTCGGGCTTGGGTTTAGGGCTCCCTCCCAGCCTTTTAAAGTTTGGGCTTCTGGGGCCCGCGGTGCGGCGGAGGGTTTGGTTTCCTGGGCTGGGGGGCTCTTGATGCCCCTTAACCCTAGACCCTTTTCCCTAAACCCAAAACCTAAACCCTAAACCACAAATCCCAAACCCTAAACCCCACACCCTAAACCACAAGCCCCAAACCCTAAACCACAAGCCCCAAACCCTGAACCCCGAACCCCGAACCCTAAACCCCAAACCCCAAGCCCGAAACTCCAAACCCTAAACCCGACACCCCAGACCACAAAGCCTAAACCCTAAACCCTAAACCCCAAACCCTAAACCCTAAACCCCAAATCCCAAACCCTAAACCCTAAACCCAAACCCTGGCCTGAAGAGCTTGTGCAGCTCCGTCACCGCCTGCTCTTCGAGCGGGGCAACGTCGCCGCCAGACATGATCGCATACTCGAGCCCTGCGTTTGGAAGGGGTTTGGGGTTTGGGGTTTGGGGTTTGGGGTTTAGGGTTTAGGGTTTAGGGTTTAGGGTTTAGGGTTTAGGGTTTAGGGTTTAGGGTTCTTCGGTTTGGGGTTTAGGGTTTGGGTTTAGGGTTTGAGTTTAGGGTTTGAGTTTAGGGTTTAGGGTTTGGGTTAAGGGTTTGGAGTTTAGGGTTTAGGGTTTTAGGACCTGTGGGGTTTATATACAGCCTTTTAGGTTCACAAGTTCTCCCTGATAGAATTGTTACGCCCTAGAAGGCTCACAATGTTCCACACGTGTTCAAGAAAAACATCCAAGGACTCAGGACTTGGAGGTTTCGTGTTTGTCGACTTTAGGGTTTCGGGTTTGGGGTTTAGGGTTTGGGGTTTAGGGTTTAGGGCTCAGAGTTTAGGGTTTAGGGTTTAGGGTTTAGGGCTCAGAGTTTAAGATTTCCAGGCTTTTACAGGGCTTAGCGTTTACCATGTTTGGGGCTGATTTAGGGTTCCCCCATCCCTCTCCCCACACCCCGCAACCCCCCCCTTACTTTCAGACGCACAAGTGTTTCTACTCGCTCTGGCTACCGCGGCCTCCGTCGGAAATCCCCAAAACATACTTAGTGAACAATTTGGATTTCAGGGGTTTGGATTTGGGGGGTAAGGGTTTGGAAAGCTCAGGATTTCAGGGTTTCAGGCTTAGATAGTTTGGGGCGGGGGGGGGGGGGGCTTGGGGGGACACGTCCATGGCCGGCCTGAGTACTCGGCGAACCGCTGCGCGACCATGGTTTTGCCTTGCTTCAAGGTCTGGGTTGGGGGAGCTGGGGTTTGGGTTTAGGGTTTAGGGTTTAGGGTTTAGGGTTTAGGGTTTAGGGTTTAGGGTTTAGGGTTTAGGGTTTAGGGTTTAGGGTTTAGGGTTTAGGGTTTAGGGTTTAGGGTTTAGGGTTTAGGGTTTAGGGTTTAGGGTTTAGGGTTTAGGGTTTAGGGTTTAGGGTTTAGGGTTTAGGGTTTAGGGCACGCCCCTTGGTAGCTGCAGCGTGAAGTGCATGGTTGGAGCCATGTTGCCCTGACCTCCCTCCAAACCCGAAACCCGGCACCCTAAATCCTAAACCCTAGACCCGAAACCCCGAACCCGAATTTTCCGTCCTGCTCGCACATTCTATCAGAGGTCCGGAGGGGATTAGACGAGAACTGGGACTTTTGGGAGCTGGCCCACCACGAGGATGAGTTTGGGGTTTGGGGTTTGGGGTTTAGGGTTTAGGGTTTAGGGTTTAGGGCTTGGGGTTTGGGGTTTAGGGTTTAGGGTTTGGGGAGGCTCCGAAGCTAGTAAAGAAGGCCCCACCCACCAGTGCCACTCAGGCGCCAGTCCCCGGCGGGCCGTAGAACATGGCATGCTGTAGCGGCATTCCTCGCAAGGCGAGAGAGGCTTCCCCAAAGGCCGAAAAGCCGAAAGGCCCTAAACCCCACTAGCCCTAAACCCTAAACCCTAAACCCTAACCCTAAACCCTAAACCCTAACCCTAAACCCTAAACCCTAAACCCTAAACCCCTGCAGTATCCGGCCCCGAGATAAGCCTGAACCCTACATCGGGCTCAGAGAGCTTCATCCCCGCACTTTGTATTTACATAGAAGCCCTCCAGACGCTCCAACAACCCTAAACCCTAAACCCTAAACCCGAAACCCTAAACCTAAAACGATGCAAAACGGTCAAAGGCGACCGACTCAGCTTACTGAGACAGGCTCACTCCAAAGTCCCCAAACCCCACCCTAAAGCCCTGAACTCCGGAGATAGGGGGTAAGGTACCCCTGAACCCTAGACCCCTACACCCTAAAACCCTACACCCCAAACCCTAAACCCCAAACCCTAAACCCTACACCCCAAACCCTAAACCCCAAACCCTAAACCCCAAACCCTAAACCCCAAACCCTAAACCCCAAACCCCCGAAACCGGCGTCTGCCCCAGGCCCCGGGCTGCGTCGCTTCGCGGAGGAGGTGGCGTCCGCGAGCCGCATCACCTCGAGGGTTTCAAGTCTTGTCTTGTTTTAGGGTTTAGGGTTTAGGGTTTAGGGTTTAGGGTTTCGGGTCTAGGGTTTGGGGTTTGGGGTTTAGGGTTTAGGGTTTAGGGTTTGGGGTTTAGGGTTTAGGGTTTAGGGTTTGGGGTTCAGGGTTCAGGGTTTAGGGTTTCGGGTTTAGGGTTTAGGGTTTAGGGTTTGACCCTAAACCCTCAACGACAGGCGGCCTGCTGCTTCAGCTTTGGGTGCAGCACCACGTCGTTGAATTCGGCGCCCCTGGGGGGCCGCAGCCGAAGCCTCAGAAGAGCGGGTGCTGGGGGGTCGTTGAAGCTTCGTGGGGTTGAGGGAAAGAGGGTTTAGGGTTTAGGGTTTAGGGTTTAGGGTTTAGGGTTTAGGGGTTTAGGGTGCTAGGGGATTATGGTTCAGGGTTTGGGCTTGGGGTCTAGGCTTTTTGGGATTTTCGTATGTGAGGGCTAGGGCTAGAGACTCGAGAGGGTGTTGCTTCCATATTCTGCACTTGCTCCTGAGAAACAGCATCACCAGCTCCAGAAATCGGCCTCGACAGCGTGAGCAGAGGCATAGACAGTAACCCCCTTGGGACCCTTGCTGAACCCTAAACCCTAAACCCTAAACCCTAAACCCTAAAAGATACCCCTCACAGTCTCACCATGCCCCTCCACATGAGCTCCAAGACCACTGGCTCTGGTTCCAGAGTCGTGCCTGCAGCTGCCATCTCACCGGTTGCATCCATGGCAACCCGTATCAACAAGCCTGCTAGGTGCGACTGGTCCCCAAAAAAAACCTGTCACGCTCCGCTACACCCCGAAGAAACCCTGCCATGCCATACTAAACCCTACTAGCCCTAAACCCTAAACCCTACTAGCCCTAAACCCTAAACCCTACTAGCCCTAAACCCTAAACCCTACTAGCCCTAAACCCTAAATCCTACACTAACCCTAAACCTAAACCCGAAACCCCCAGACGCTCAGGGGCCCGGCAGCCGGAGGATGGCAATGCCGAACTCTTGCATGCCACCTACCGGGTTTAGGGTTTAGGGTTTAGGGTTTGGGGTTTAGGGTTTAGGGTTTAGGGATAGGGGTTTAGGGGTTAGGGTTTGGGGGTTGAGGGTTTAGGGTTTAGGGTTTAGGGTTTAGGGTTTAGGGTTTAGGGTTTAGCGTTTAGGGTTTAGGGTTTAGGGATTGGAGTTTAGGGTTTAGGGTTGCCCTCAGGGAGTTTAGGGTTGTTTTTTTTGACGAGGCCTGGGACGTTTGGGGGGGGGGGGGTGTTTTAAGTTGCTGCTTCAAGGTTCCGGGTTTAGGCATTTTGTGGGCTGAGGGATTCTGGTTGGGGTTTACGGCTTCGGGTCTGGAGGGATGGTTTGCAGTAGGGTTTCGGTTTTAGGGGATTGGGGTTTAGGGGTTGGGGGGTTGCTCGACTTGCAACCATCAGCTGCCTGAAAGCTTCATGAATGTCCACCTAGCATGCAACGCTTATTTTGGAAACCCAACACTTCTCCTCGGCCATTGTGCCTCGCCGGTTGGTCATTCGGACAAGCGAGGGCCTGACAGCACGTCGGGTGTAGGGCTGAGGGCTTTCAGGGTTCAGAGTCTCGAGTTTAGGGTTTAGGGTTCAGGGTTTAGGGCTTTCAGGGCTCAGGGCTCAAGGTTTGGGGCTTGGGGCATTGCAAGCCCAGCCCCCCCTGCTGTGCGCCTGCCCAGGCGCTTGTTCAGCTGCTCTCGCAGCAGGATCGCCATCTCTCTGACCTGGCGGTTGGGTTCGGGGCCGAAGCTTGAGGGTTTTGGGCTTTGGGTTTTGGGTTTAAGGTTTTGGGTTTTGTGTTTGGGTTTTGGGACTTGGGCTTTGGGCTTTGGGCTTTGGGTTCAACTTGCGGCCTTGCGGTTTTGGGTTCGAGGTTTCGGGTTCTGCGCCCTACAACTACCGTTTAAGACGTCCGAGAATCCATCCCGCAAGTCTGGAGTCGGTGACCTTACTACCATGAACTATCCATCTGGGTTCGCTCTTGAGGGTCTTGAGTCTGTCTTGCAATCTAGGGTAACCCCCCTAGACCCAAACCTACCCTTAACCCAGAATGTGATTGCACATACCCTGAACCTGCAAGTGCCCAACTCAGTCCACGACCAGGTAGATGCCACCCAGGCAGGCAACCTGAGGGATGTATATACGACTTGAGGGAGGCTTTGTGTAGGGTTTGGGTTTAAGCCCTTGGGATCTAGGGATGTCAGGAACGGGAAGGTTGGGGAAAGGCCTGGGAAGGTTTGAGGGCTCAGGGTCTAAAATTGTCTCGGGTTTTAGGTATGTTTTAGGGAATTGCAGAAAGTAGGGTTTAAGGTTTCGGGTTTCGGGAATATTCCCCCCCGTACTGTAAGGCTCTTCAACGGGGTATACTCGGCACAAGCTGAAAGCTTTGAGGTTGGAGACTCTTAGGGCTGTAGGAAGCTAAGCCCTAAAGCCTCAAAAGCCTTCAACCCTGAACCCAAATCCCGATTTTGTCTAATTTTGGGGGGCCTTCAGTGCGTGATGGGTTGCCCTAAGCCCGAAACCCTAAACCCTAACCCCCCAAACCACTGCACCCCTAAACCCTAACACCCCAAAACCCTTGTGGCATTCGGGATGCGGATGCAACGCACAGGGGCGCGGACTATGGACCCGATCAGCAGCGCCAGGTTTGTCGGCGAGTTGAAGACCTCACAGTGGGGCTTCCTGGGTTTTTGGGGTTCCTGGGGTTTAGGGTTTAGGGTTTAGGGTTTTGGGTTTAGGGTTAGGGTTTAGGGCTTGGGGTTTAGGGTTTAGGGTTTAGGGTTCTAGGTTTTGGGCTCAGGGTTTGGTCATGTTGGCTTAGGGCTGAAGGTTTGGTAGTTCAGGGGTGAGGGCCTAGGGTTTAGCAATTTAGAGTCTTGGCAAGGGTTTCGTAATTTAGGGTTTACGGCTTTTTGTTTCGTGCTTAGGGTGCACAGCGCCCTTAACGCCAATGCCCCAAACTGTCGGCTCAAGGTCTACGGCTTAGGGCGTAGGATTTGGGGCGGTGGCGCTTAGGGTTTAGGCGTATGGGCTCTTAAAGGTAGAACAACCCCAAAACCCTAAACCCTGATCGTCCCATACCCTAACCCTAAGCCCTGAACCCTAAACCCTAACCCTAAACCCTAAACCCTAAACCTAAACCCTAAACCCTAAACCGTGTTTTAGGGCTTTAGCATCCTGAAGCTGGGTCCGCGCGCTGTCGCGATCCAGTCGGAAGCGATTCTGGCGCTCGCCTGCTGTGCCACTGCCCTAAACCCTAAAACCCTAAACCCTAAACCCTAAACCCTAAACCCTAAACCCTAAACCCTAAACCCTAAACCCTAAACCCTAAACCCTAAACCCTAACCCTAAACCCTCAACCCTAAACCCCTTCGGGTTCAGGTTAAGGGTTCAGGGTTGAAACCCCAGATAGAGCTTGCATGTTGTGGATTCTGCAAGGGTTCAGAAGCTTTGGGCCTTTTAGCAAGTGGTTATGGCATGTATGTGCTGGAGAACAGCCATATGGCCAGATTTCAACGACCTGGATTCCGCGTGGCTGGCCTTGCCACCAAATAGCCGTGGAGGTGCACGCTTGGGCTCCCGAAACTCGAAGAATACACTAGAATAGCCCGGCCCCTAGGTTTTAGGGCTGGTCTAGGTCTCCCAAACACCCAGAATCCTTCACCCCTTAACCTCTGCCTTACTACTCAGCCGGGCTGATACTCTAATGCTGGGGTTCAGGGTTTCAGGGTCTTGGACCATGAGGGAGAAGGCCCTATGTCCCAACCCCAAAACCCTCAAACCCTGAAGCGCCCAAACCCCAAGACCAGAGTGATCCCCGCGCCCCCTTGGAGGGTTTAGGGTTTAGGGTTTAGGGTTCAGGGTTTAGGGTTTAGGGTTAAGGGTTTAGGGCTTAGGGCTTAGGGCTTAGGGCTCAGGGTTCAGGGTTTAGCGTTTAGCGTTTAGGGTTTAGGGTTTGGGGTTTGGGGTTTAGGGTTTAGGGTTTAGGGTTTAGGGTTTAGGGTTTAGGGTTTAGGGTTTAGGGTTTAGGGTTTAGGGTTTAGGAGGGCCTCGATCGCCGCCAACATCTGAGCCCGCTTTTCAGCCTGCTCCGCCTTCATGAGGCGAGTGTTGACCTGGGCGCATGCTGGAAGGCTCATGGGTAGCTGTAAGTAGGGCTTAGGGTTTAGGGTTGAGGGTTTAGGGTTTGGGGCTTGGGGTTTATAAGCAAGGAAACCTTTTCGCTAGCCTTCATTAAGGTACTTCTAACCCCACTTCTAAATACCCGTGAACCTTCAAGTACTTGGAGGTTCATGATACTTATTCACCAATTATAACTGTACTTGCAACCCACTTATAAGCCCCTGAAGTGACCCAAATATGGTTATAAGTACAGTTAGTTTCCCTAAACCCTAAACCCTAAACCCTAAACCCCAAACCCTATACCCTAAACCATGAACCTCCAAGTAGGGTCTCCTACAGGCTGAGTTTACTAGGGGAGAGGCGGGGGAAACGGCGAAGCCCCCGGGCCAAGACAGAGGCGACCTAGACAAGCTGAGGTAGAGTTTAGGATGTCGCGTAAACCCTAAACCCTAAACCCTAAACCCTAAACCCTAAACCCTAAACCCTAAACCCTAAACCCTAAACCCTAAACCGACCCTAAACCCTGAACCCTAGTGTGCTCGGTCTAAGGACTGAGGGCTTAGCTCAGGATGTGGGCCGTGTCAAATGGTCGGCATTGCTTTGAAGAGGCGTATGTAAAAACCGGTCAGCGATGCTTGATGTGATTTTTCGCTATCCCGCACTAGAGTTCACCCTAAGCCCTAAACCCGAAAAGGTGGCTTTGCCAAAAAAAGAGCGCGTGCGTAAAGTTCCCCTAAACCCTCAACCCTCAACCCTAAATACTAAACCCCAAGCCGTAAGCCCTAAAAACCTCGAACCCTGAACCCCAAACCCAACTCGCCCTTTCCGGTTGCTGGGCCCCCTGCATCTTCGTTCTCCCGAGCTGCCTTGATCTTGCCTGGTACCACGAACCAGCGCAGGGTTTCGGGTTTAGGGTTTAGGGCTTAGGGCTTAGGGCTTCGGGCTTACAGTTCAGGGATTGGGAGTCAATGTTTCAGGGCTTACAGTAGGGATTGGGGGCTGGAAGCTTAAGGATTCAGAGTTCATGGGGTAAGGGTTCGACCCTCACCCCGAGTCCGAAACCTTCCGGTGACTCAACCCAGCGCCTTCTTCCTCGATCTTGGCTCGCTCTACAGCCTGGCCGAAGGGGGGGGGGGGGGGGGAGCGGGGGGGGGGGGGGGGCTCTTCAAAGGGTCTGGGTTGGGATACTTTTCCAGAAAATAAGAGTCCCGATTCAGGACTGTTAGTACAAGGAACATCCCAAGGTCTGGGCTTTAGGATTTCGGGTTCAGGCTTTAGGATTTAGCGCTCAGGGTTTGGCATGTAGGTTTCAGAGTGTAGGGCTCAGGGTTCAGGTTTAAGGAAAAACCTGGAATTACTGGCCCGGCGTGTTTTCTATATGTTGCACGGGGCAATAGGGGGGGGGTGGGTATGGGGTAACCTTATATAATTGGGTTCAAAGATTCTGTATAATGGGCGATAAAAGGTTTGGTATGTCCATAATGGGTGACCCAGGACACACCCTCACCAACATGAGCACTACAGACCCTTCTTCAACTGCAGCATACAGTCCATATACATCCCCAAACTGAAACCCTCAACCCAACAAACCCGAAACCCGGAACCCTAAGCCCTTACACCCCAAACTCTAAACCACAAACAATAAACCCTCAACCCTAAACCCCAAACCCTAAACCCTAAGCCCCAAACCCTAAACTTTGCCCTAAACCTTAACCCTAAACCCCAAACCCTAAACCCCAAAACCCCCCAAAGCCCTGAACCCCACGAGCCCCCCCAAGCCGCCTCCTGAAGTCCAAGCTCCGCCCGGCGCTCGTCCGACTGCAGGCGCAGCTCTAGGAGCTCCTCAGAAGGGTTTGAAGTTTAGGGTTTAGGGTTTAGGGTTTAGGGTTTAGGGTTTAGGGTTTAGAGGGTTTAGGCTGCACTCGCGGGAATGCGTAAGCCCCAGTATCGCTTGCTTAAGCAGTGGCTTTCCCGCGCTCCCCTTGAAAGGTCAAGCAGTTTCCTTTGGGATGTTCCCCCCTTTTACTAACAGCCCTTAAATAGGGATTATTAGTACCCCCGATTATAGTCCCTGTTAAGGACTGTTGGTATAAGGGGGGGAACACCCAAAAGCTCGCTTTGGTTGACCTCTTGAACTTGTGAGGGAGCTGCAGTTGGGGAGCTCTTCGATACCGCTCTTTTCTCAAATTCTTACGCTTACTCCCAGTGCACTGGACGTGTCTTCTTCCGTATCTTCGTGCTTTTGCGAAAGGTTTGATTCCAGGGCCCGGGCAGGGGAGTAAACAGCCCAGAGGGAACCCCAGAAACACCCGAATGAAGAAGGACGTGCACTGCCCTGAAACGCATCCGGACCCGTCCTTCTCGTCCTTGTGCTTCTGCGCCTGCTGTCGTAGGTTGGACCTCTGCGAAGGAGCAGAAGTTGAAGATAGAGTACTGTCAGATTGAGGTGGCCCTGAGAGTGAGGTGCGCAATCTTTTCAGTAACAGATCAAAGGGTTTAGGGTTTAGGTTGAAGGTAAGGCTTTAGGGTTTGTTCCTGGGTTACAGGCACCACTCGCCTGCGATCATCTTCCCGACCTAGTGTCAGGGTCCCATTTTTCCAAGATCCTTCTCAATCAGTCGAGGCTTCCGTCCCCACCCAGATCCCTAACCTTGTCTATATGGCCGGCAGGGGCGGAGGGCTTGGAGGCAATAACGGGCCGACAAGCAGAAAATGCAGGTGCGCACTTGGCCCAATTGTGCTGCAGCCATACCGCTTCTTCATTGCCCTAGACCCTAAACAACCCCTAATCCCGAAACCCTAAACCCCTAACCCCAGATCGCAAACCCTAAACACCCGAACCCTAAACCCCAAACCCTGAACCCTTGACCCCAAAGCCTGAACTCCAAACTTCTGAGAAAGCTTTTGCACCATGCTAGGGTGGGAACCCTGGACCCTAAGTCCTAAACCCTAGTGCTTAGGGCAATAGAGGCTTAAAAATTATCACTTCGAAAGTCCCAACAAAGGTCACCTCTACAAGGGGTTGGGGAGCCTCTTGGGTGCTTTTCTGCAAGGGAACCTTGCGCGCGTGCATGACGACACGAAGATCCTAATCTAGATTCAACCCAGCATGGAAGCGACATTTCGGTCCTCGGCCTGCTTAGTGTGGCAACATTTCGGTACAGTTGCCCGCCTGAGCCTCCCTGGCCTGCTTAGTTAGTATGGCAACATGTCCGTACAGTTGCCCGCCTGGGCCGCCTTGGCCTGCTTAGCGTGTCGACATTTCGGTAGGGCTGGCCCCATTCAGCTTGCTGGCCTGCTTCGAGTCGACATTTCGGTACAGCTGCCCGCCTGAGCCTCCCTGGCCTGCTTAGTGTGGCGACATTAATTCAGTTGCCCGCCTGAGCCTCCCGATCCTCCTTGCTGTCCTTTTTAATGTCCTGCATCTTGTACTGGCTGTCCTGCCTCACAACTGTCCTACCTGCTGTCCCTGTACTGTCCTCACTGCTTCGCGTCACATGGTGCGTGCCACTTTGTCCTCAAAATCTAACTACCCCACTTGTCGGGTGGTGAAAAAACTGGGACCCCGAGCTCCTCCTGCTGGCCTAGGAGCTCGAGGTCGGCAGCCTGGTGTCGCCAAACGAGGGGGCTTGAGTTAGGGTTGAGGGTTGAGGGTTGAGGGTTGAGGGTTGAGGGTTGAGGGTTGAGGGTTGAGGGTTGAGGGTTGAGGGTTGAGGGTTGAGGGTTGCGGGTTGAGGGTTGAGGGTTGAGGGTTTAGGGTTCAAGGATGATTCAGGATGGTTTAGAGCGCAAGGCTTGGGAGCCTTCGTAGGGCTTCATGTTGGGTTCGAGATCAGGGCATGGGCCGAAGGCTTCCGGAGCGGGGTGGGGTCGCTCTAGGGCTTCGGGTTTGGGGTTTAGGGTTGAGGGCTTCATGTATTTAGGGTTTAGGGTTTAGGGTTTAGGGATTAGGGTTTAGGGTTTAGAATTTGGAGTTCAGGGCAGGCCAGGTGGGTCTTTGGGTTTTCGACCGGCTCCCCAAACCCTAATCGCTAAATCTCGCTTCTTGCACACTTTCCAACGCTGAGCTAGGCTGCAGTTGAGGTCAGTACCCCTCGGCACCCTAAACCCTACAAGAAACCGAAAACAAAACATGGGAGGGCGATCTTCTACTCATGAAACTTCTGTTAGAACACGTCGCTAAAGAAGCCTCAACTCCAAACGAACCCAATGAGATGTTAAACCCTCACGACTTCTCCCTAAGCCTTATACCCCACTGCCTTTGTGCACGCCCCGCCTTCTTCTGAGCTGTTTCGAAGGCGATCCGCTCGTGGTGCTTCTGCCTCAGATTCATTCCTCCCTAACTCCAAACCCTATAAACCCTCAACCCTATATAACCCCTAAACCCTAAACCCTAAGCCCCAAACCCTAAACCCTAAACCCTGCACCTACACAGCATTGCAAAGCCCCAGAATCCCCTAAAACCCGAAAACCCCAAGCCATGACTCCGCCGGATGGGGCTCAGGTTCCCGGGAACATCCCACAAACCCAACAACCAGGCACCGAACCCAACACCTCAACTCCTGGTAGGACGTTAAGGAAGGCTTGCGGGCCGTCTTCCCGGGGACCAAGACGACGGTGGCTTTTTTTCTTTAGTTTTTGGAAGGGCTCGTTGGCACCCGGCGGTTGGAGTGATCTTGGCTTGGTGGTGTTGCCGGTTCAGCATGCAGCTTGCAGTACTTCTTCGGCAGGCCCATGGCAGGCCCCCTGGGACTTTAAGTTGTCTACTGCAGGTCTGTGCTGGCTTTGGGTGGATGCGCTTTCTGCCTGCGGCCATTCTGCTTGTCCATCAGCTTCTCAAGCGGATAAGAGGGACCTTGACTTGACGCAGGGTGGGACTGGGCTCCGTAAAGAGCCCTTAAGATGACAACTCGCCGTGTTGCTGGTGGTGCAGGACTAATGTTCGTTGGCGGTCCAGAACCTTTCGTGTTCTTAAGCTCCTGCCCTCTCATGCGCTGCTTCCGCATTCCACCGTCTGGTGGGTGCGGTTTGCTTGCTCCGGTGTACACGCAAGCGTGCGCCGACCATGCTGTTGCGCCGCATTTCTGCAAGCAACTGCGGCGGGAGCACCTTTGTACCGCTCGGCTCTGAAGGTGGGGGGGGGGGGGATTTGGGCCAGGCAGCTTACGTGAGGGGGGGCTCAGGCTTCCTTCGCTGGGCCATTCGCTGGCTTCCCAGGGTTGGGGTGGGCACATGTTGTTTAGTTTAGCTCGTTTCCTTGTTTGTTGCGAGAGAAAATGGGTTTTAGGGGCCTAGGAAATTACGTTTAGGGGCTTTAGGCTATAGGGTTTTGGGGGTTTTAGGATTCGCGGTTTAGTGTTTAGGCTTGCAGGGTTTGGGGCTTCAGGGTAAGTGCACCCCAGCGGCGTGCTATGGTCATCGCTCTTCCGCTCTTCCTGGTCAAGGAAAGTAGCCCCAAAAAGCCTTGTTTGGGGCTGCAAGAGTCTGGGGCAACCACATTGTGTGGCCTGGGAGTTGGGTTCAGGGCCGTAGGCCCGCAGGGCCATAGAGAAAGGACACCCTAAACCCTAAACCCTTAAACCCCTAAACCCCTAAACCCCTAAACCCCTAAACTCCTAAACCCCTAAACCCTAAACCCCTAAACCCCTAAACCCCACTACATAACCCAAACCCCGTAAGCCTCAAGGCACGGTCGTTTGGGAGGTGTTCGCTCACAGGAAATGCTCACCCTTCGGCTTCAAGGGGAGTTCAAGTACCCCAACCCTAAACCCTAAACCCTAAACCCTAAACCCTAAACCCTAAATCCTAAACCCTAAACCCCTAAACCTAAACCCTAAACCCTAAACCCTAAACCCTAAACCCTAAACCCTAAACCCTAAACCCTAAACCCTAAACCCTAACCCCAAAAAATGGCTGAAGGGGGCCCTCAAAAAGCCCCGGAAGGCTAACCCGGCAGCCGGTCCTCACCGCGGCGCTCGATGGTTTTCCGCTCCTCCTCCCACCTCGACAGGGTTGAGGGTTGAGGGTTGAGGGTTGAGGGTTGAGGGTTGAGGGTTGAGGGTTGAGGGTTGAGGGTTGAGGGTTGAGGGTTGAGGGTTGAGGGTTGAGGGTTGAGGGTTGAGGGTTGAGGGTTGAGGGTTGAGGGTTGAGGGTTGAGGGTTGAGGGTTGAGGGTTGAGGGTTGAGGGTTTAGAGGGTTGCAGGGTTTAGGGTTCAGGGTTCAGGGTTCAGGTTCAGGGTCCGCCGACCTGGCGGCGTGTTGGATGGGAAAAGGAGGTGAAAAACTCTCTTTCCCTCCTTGTTTTCAAAACTTGGGAGGGGGGGGGGGGGGGGGTAGGGGGGGGGGGGGGGGGTAGGGGGGGGGGTACCCCGCCAGCTTTTCCGTGGAGGAACAGGCCACCCACACCGCGTAAACTCATGGACCATAGCGTTTTCGCACAGGCATAGGAAAAAACCCCTCTTTGGCCCCCCCCCCTACCCCCCCCCCCCCTACCCCACCCCCTACCCCCCCCCCCTTACCCCGCCCCCCCCCCCCCCCCCCACCCCCCCCCCCCCCCCCCCCACCCCCCCCCCCCCCCCCCCCACCCCCCCCGCCAACCGCAAACAAATTCACCAAACCCCAAACCTTAAACTTGTTCTCCTGCGGGGGCGGCGGCTTGAGCCGGAGGCTCTTAAATTTCGGGTTTAGGGTTTAGGGTTTAGGGTTTAGGGTTTAGGGCCAAGGGCTGGCACAGGGGTTTGGGGTTCAGGGTCTGGGGTTTAGGTTTTATGCAGGGAGTAGGGTCCGTAAACCCTGAACCCAAAACCCCACAGGGCTTAAGGTCATGTAGGGGCGTTTAAAGTTTAAATCCGAAAGCCCTAAGCCTTGCACCCTGAACACTGAACCCTAAACCGGCAGAGACAGCCTTCTGAGTATGCATAAAGTACAAAACAAGCAGTTTTTACATGTCTATATATATATATACATAATTATATATACATAATTATATATATATATACTGTATATGCATAGGCTAATAGAATGTACAAACATAGATATGTCTAGACCCAAGAGAAACCCCAGGACTAAGAAAGGGCGCCCTTTGAGGGTTAAAAGCGGGCTTACGAATGAGCCGATCGATCTCACGGAGCTTGCAATACAAGGGAACCTTGGCCCTAAAAAAAGGGGAAGAAGGGCCCAGTATAGGGGCCTTAATAATTAGAATAGGGTCTTGGGGGTATGCGGGCGAAAGCCTGTCGAAGTCAATAATAAAAGAAGATGTCATCTGCATCCTCAGCAATAGCTCAGAGCACTGAACAGATCTACAACTTGCTGCAGATGGATTGCAGCAGTAAAAGCATTGCATCATATTTCTGTGACCAAAGGTCCAGAGTCTGTACAGGAATATCATGCGACTTAGGACATCTTCGTGTGAGATTCCTAGGTTCAATCGAGTAATTAAGAATAGGGTTTTGGGGGGTTATTATAGCATGTTTATAAAGGGACCATGAGGGAATACTGTTAGTAATTCTTCCGACCCCCCTATGTTACTCTCGGTCCGCTCCGCGAACATAGACGTAAAATCTTCAAGTGGAGACTGTCCGGTCGAAGTTAGGGCCCCTAAGCCCTCGAGGCCCTGAAGCTCAACTTGCCGAAGGCCTCAACTTCTCGATGCTCCGCTTCACGAGCTGCACCTCGCTGGTGAGCAAGTGGAAAGTTTAGGGTTTAGGGCTCAGGGTTTAGGATGTTTCACTCTATCTCTCTATGTATATCTATGTATATGTGTATATATATATACATATATATATATGGAAATGTATGTCCAGGCCTGGGTGAGAGTACATGGTACATAGCATTTTACTCTCTATGTATGGATAGGCTAGGGCCCTGGAGGCGCGCAAAGTTCCATCCTTGGGTCTGTCGCGAGCATCACCGGCAGCTCGCTTGAGTGTAGGGTTTGGGGCTTCAACGGTATACTATACATGTATATATATATATACATATACATATACATAAACATAAACATATACATACATATATATATATATATATATCCTGTACTATATACTATTCTCAGATGCTGACTACTCTATACTGTATACTATATACAATATACGATGTGCCATAGTCAGTATATAGTACATACCATGCTGACTATATCCAATTCTACCATAGTCTGTATACTATATACTGTAGACTATATCTGATGCACTATATACTGTATACTATGCTATATGCTATATACCATCTACTCTATATTCTACACTCTATACTGTCTACTACATACTACAAAGAGATGCTTTGGGGGGGGGGGGGACGAACAGGGGCAATTCAATCTCTCGAACCCCCTAACTAAACCGACCCCCAAGCCCAACCCTAAACGCTGAACCCGTTTAGGGTTTAGGGTTTAGGGTTTAGGGTGTAGGGTCTAGGGTCTAGGGTCTAGGGTCTAGGGTTTAGGGTTTGGGGTTTAGGGTTTAGGGTTTAGTTTTTCGGGTGTAGGGTTTTGGATTTTGGGTTTTGGGTCTTGGGTTTTGGGTTTTGGGTTTTAGGCTTAGGGTTTTGGGTTTGGGGTTTAGGGCTTCAGGAAGCAGAGTCGCGTGCGCCCTGCTGCTGGCCTCAAGATCGGCTTCTGACTTCTTCCGCTTCTCCACCAAGTCCGCCCGCGCCTGGCTAGGGGTTTCAGGGCTTTAGGGGTTTCGGGTGTATGAGGTGAAGGAGTCAGCCTTTCAAGGGCGGTAGAGGTTTTAGGGCTTCAGGGGTTCTTGAGATGTTTAATGTTTTAAGGGTCTAAGGGGTTCAGGGGCTAAGGAGTGAGGGGTTCAAGGGCTTAAGGGTTTATCGGGCTTCAGTCTGTTTATATAGGCCAGCAAAAATGATCAGAAGCCGGCTGCAGCTATGATAGACAACCTTGCGAATGCTCGTGCTTTGGTACTGGAAAAATGACGTAGGTAGAGACTCCATAGCGCCCGACAAGAGCCCGAGAACTTCTATCCCCAAACCCTCTAAACCCGTCAAAGACCAGAAATATCGAAAAGGGATAGTCAGGTAGTAGGTCGCGTACACCCCAACTTGGGAGGAGGGCTGTGACTGGCAGGCTTTCGGGCAGAAATTGTCCGCAGGGGTGTCTTCAGCTGCTTGGAACATCGTCGACGTCGCACTGAAACAGCCGCCTAAGCTTGGGTGGTGCTGGAGTAGTGTAATCCCATGTTTGGGGTCAGGATAGTTCGGGCCTGTTTTGTGCTTCTGCTTCGTTGTGCGGGCAAACGCCAACTCTTGCTATACATCCGTGGGAGCCCTGAGCGACAAAATCGGACTGCGGCATAAGCCAGGCAGTGGCACGGCTGGCGCTCGTCCAACAACAGGCGCAAGTCTTGCCAGGGCATCAAGCTGGCTTCTCTTAAAGCACGGCCTGCATGCAGCAACTCTCAGCGCAGAGTTGCTAGAAAAACTGGATTGAGTCTAGCTTGCCTAGACTAAATAAGAGACGCGCGGGCGGAGGATTGGGGCCTAAACCAGAGGGCTCAGCGTTCCAGCAACTGGGTCAAACCAGACCATCAGCTCCGATCCGCTGGCAACGCCGGCTGGAACGCTAACTGTCAGTTCCCTGCCATCGGGGACCTTGACTGCCAAGGTGTCTCCACACACCACACCCTCCGGTACGAGGATCTGCATGGGCCCTTCCAGTGCCTCCGGAGCCTCTGCCGGAGTTTCCGGCGGAGCCTCCGGTGCGGAGGCCAACGCCTGCGCAAAGGCGAGGCTCTGGAGCTTGCCGACCTCCAGGAAGTCGCGCAGCTCCAGGCACCAGGGGCCCGGGCCGCAAGGGTGGTTCAAGGCACTCTTGAGCCACTGCTCCAGGCCCCGGCGCCGTTCTTCAAGCCGGGTGCCCTCGCAACCGAAGACGTGCTTGCGCGGGAACTTGCACATGATCATCGACCAAGGCGCGATCCTGTGGAGTCGGTTCTTCAAGGCCTCGAAATCCTGGTACCTCTTTTGAACTCGATATCCAGCACTGGACTCCGGCATCACCTCGACTCCAAAGTACGTCACTCCACTCTGCTGCTCGATCGCAGTCGATGGCATGCGGATGGCTGCCACGGACAGCGAAGGCATCTCTGCAGAAGTAGCCTCCCCAGCTTTGTCCCTGCCCCTGCCTGCCAGCTCCACTGGAGATCCCGAAGGCCTTGTGGGAGTCGGGATCATCATGAGCAACTGTGTGAGCTGCAGCGTTTCGTCCATGGCTGGGCGGGGATGTGGGAAGGCGTGGAGGTGCTTGAGTTGTAGCTTCTCTTCGTTGAGCCACAAGGCATCGCAGGAATCGAAGACAAGATGGCAACGGACTTGCAGGAGGCGTCTAGGCGCGAAGGAGCCTCTGCTTGCAAAGCTGATCTTATAGAAATCCCGCCTCTCGATCGACGGCAGATCGGAAATCGTCTTGAAACTGCGCCTCAGCGGCTTGACACGGGAGGTGCAGAAACACCGGGCAACAATGCATCAGAACATACTGAGCAGCTCCAAGTGCGAGAAACACGCACGCCGAACGCAGGCACGCGACGCGCACCCACCCACCCACCCACCCACCCACCCACTCACCCACCCACTCACCCAGCCACCCCAAAATAGACATACACACACACAACCAAAAAAATTATAATCATAATAATAAGAATAAAAGAAAGAAAGGATTCTAAGAGATTCACATCCTGAGGGAGGGGTCCAGTCCGGGGTCTGAGGCTTAGGGGTTAAAACCCGAGAGCAACTTCTCGCCAGAGCAGAGATCTTAGGGTAGTTATGTGGTCCATAGTATGGACTTTCAAATTGGTACCCCTTGTATACCCCTCTTACATAGCCCATACAACCCAAGGGCCCATATATCATAAAGGCCCATGAAACTACACTAAACCCGAAACCCTAAACCCTAAGCCCTAAACCCTAAACCCTGGAACCGGAGCCGAGAAGCTATGGACCTGTCTTGCTGGATGGACCTGTTGTTCAGGTCGTCCACGCCTGGCAGACTCCGTGTGCTCCGTGCGCGGTTTAGGGTTTAGGGTTTAGGGCTTAGGGCTTAGGGCTTAGGGCTTAGGGCTTAGGGCTTAGGGCTTAGGGCTTAGGCCATAGGCCTTAGGCCTTAGGCCTTAGGCCTTAGGCCTTAGGCCTTAGGCCTTAGGCCTTCGGCCTTAGGCCTTAGGCCTTAGGGCTTAGGGCTTAGGGCTTAGAGCTTAGGGCTTAGGGCTTAGGGCCTAGGGCTTAGGGTTTAGGGTTTAGGGCTTATGGTGGTGTAAGTGTTTTTAAACTCCGAAGTTAGTGAGGATCTAGGGCCTGCGCCAGGCCTCTGCTCGAAACTACACCTGGACTGTCGAATGAGGCAGATGAGGAATGTCTGAGCAAACGAACCGACGAAGAAAGGGGACCCACTAAGCCTAAACCCTAAAGCCCTCGGTCATAGAACCCTGCAGCCAGCAACCCTCAACCGAAACCCCAAAGCTCTATATGATCGAACCTCCGTAGAGGCTTAGAGCTCAGAATTTCCCAAACCGCAACCCCTGACCACTGAAACCCCTGCACCCTGCAATCCCAAAGTCCCCCAAGCACCCTCAAGTTTAGGGTTTAGGGGTAAGGGTTTAGCTGTTCAGGGGTTTAGGGGTTTAGGGGTTTAGGGGGTTTAGGGGTTTAGGGTTTGGGGTTTAGGGGTTTAGGCGTTTAGGGAGGTTTGGGGGATAAGGGGCTTGAGCTTTTGGGGAGCTTCGGGGCTTTTGGCTTTTGGGTCGCGGCATTGCAGACTTGGAGGGCTCTCAGTGGCTCAGGCTTCGGGGCCAACCCTAAACTCTAAACCCTAAACCCTGACCCAAAACCCTAAAGCCCCAAACCCTAAGACCCTAAAACCCTAAACCTCAAGCCCTAAGTGGCATGGACCTTTACGTATTATTTGGCGATCCCTTTCGTTTCTTATTTAAACAATGACTTTGCAAGTATCAGATATAGAGTATGATTTAATGTTTGTTGTTCCAAGTTTCAAGTTTCAAGCAACTCTTTGCAAAAGGGCTTGGGGTTAAGGATTTACGGTAGCCCACGTACCATATGATAAACATCTCGGCGCCCAGACCGGAACCATCAAGAATAGGTCAGTCATTTCTCTTTCGTCCTTAAAGGAAGTGATGACAAAGGAATATACGTGGAGATGGACATGTCGAATTCTTCATAGTCGTGGCTTTCCCTCACTGCCTTCCTTTGTTTGACCCTTCTTCTCTATTCTTTTTGCCTTCATCTTTGACCAGCACGATCGAAAGGGAAAGGGAACATGCCACTTCCTCTCGATGTGGTTCTCTCTCTCCTTTCCTTCCCTCTTGCGATGCATCTCTTGTCCTCCCTCTCTCTCTCTCTCTCTCTCTCTCTCTCTCTCTCTCTCTCTCTCTCTCTCTCTCTCTCTCTCTGCTCTCTCTGCCATCTCTTGCTCTCTCATCCCTCCCCTCTCCTATATTGTTTCCTCCCCTCTTTTCCATTTCTGCAAAGAGTAAGGAACAGCATAGAACAGAAAGGAAGAGATAAGATGGAGGAAGATGGTGGAACCGTGAACTCCTCCTGCGCTCGGCTCCCTCGCTTTCTCTTCCGTTGCCGTTCTTCCTCTTCTCTTCTCCCTGTTCTCTTCATGAGAAAGGAATGAAGCGAACGGAGATCTCAGAGAAAGCAAGAGGCCCTCGCTCTCATCATCTTTGCTTCCTCGTCTTCATTGCTCGCTTCATCTCTCTCTCTCTCTCTCTCTCTCTCTCTCCCTCTGTCACTCTCTCTCTCTCTCTCTTCCTCCCTCTCTACTTCTGCAACATCCCTTTTCCGCTTCTCTTTCCCGCTTCTTACCTTTGACTTGACGTTTATCTTTCTCCCACTCTTCCTCTCCCTTCTCTTCCCCTCCCTTTTCTCCCTCTTCCCTTTCTCAGTCAGAAGGACGATGCACAAGGAAGAAGGGAATAAGGGAAAAGACAAGAGAAAGAGAGAGCGAATCCGATAATGGCAGAAGGAGAACAAGGGCAAGAAAGAAAGACCGAAAGAAAGAGAGAAAGAAAGAGAGAAAGTTAGAGAAAGTAAGTGAGAGAGAGAGAGAGAAAAAAAAACAAAAAAAGAGAGAGGGGAGGGTGGGATGAAAAGAGGAGGAGATGAAGATTGCAGCAGGGCCTTGTCCTCCGCCTCTGTTCATCCTTGTTCTTGCCTCCTGTCTCATTGGTGAAAACCCAAAACGAGCTTGCGTGGGAAGACAAAGGAGAAGAGGATTGGTAGCCGCGAGATTCGGAGGAGGAGTTCTCCTCTTCAATCACCCTCTGTCCTTCCTTTCAGCTCTCATTCATCCTCCTTGCTTTGCCATCTCTTGCGCTATCATCCCTCCCCTCTCCTCTTTCCTTCCTCCCCTCCTTTCCATTTCTGCAAAGAGTGAGGAATAACAGAGAACAGAAAGGAAGAGACAAGACGGAGGAAGACGGTGGGGAGAGGAAGGGTGAACTCCTCCTTCGCCCGGCTCTCTCGCTTTTTCTTCCGTTGCCTTCTTCATCTTCTTTTCTCCCTGTTCTCTGCGTAAGAAAGGAGTGAAAGGAGCGGAGAGCTCAGGGCAAGCAAGAGGCCTCGCTCTCATCATTTTTTCTTTTCTTGTCTTCGTTGCTCTCTTCATCCCTCTCTCTCTCCCTCTCCCTCCCTCCCTCTCTACTTCTGGAAGCAGACAAGGGAGTAAGGGAAAAGACAAGAGAAAAAGAAGCGAATCCGAGAGCGGTAGAAGGAGAACAAGAGCCAGGGAAAGAAAGACAGAAAGAAAGGGAGCAAGTAAAAGAGAAAGAGAAAAGGGAAAAGAGAATAGGGAGAGAGAGAGAGAGAGAGAGAGAGAGAGAGAGAGAGAGACAGAGAGAGAGGGAGGGGGGAGGGGATGAAAAAGCAGCAGGGCCTTGTCCTCCGCCTCTGTTCATTCCTTGTTCTTCTCTCACGTTTCATAAGCGATAAACCAAGACGAGCTGCGTTGGAAGAAAAAGGAGAAGAGGACTGGTAGCCGCGAGATTCGGAGGAAGAGTTCTCCTATTCACTCGCCTTCTGTCCTTCCTCTCACCTCTCTGCCACTCTCCTTCTTTCATACTCTTTCCTTTCTGGTGAAGAGCTAAGGCGAAGAAGGTACGCAGAAAAATAGAAACAGATCCCGGAAAGGTGAGAACAATACAAAGAACTGATAGAAAGAAGAGAGAGAGAGGGAAAGTTTCAAGCCCAGCGGAAGAAGAAGAGAAAGAGAGACAGACAGAGAGAGATAGAGAGAGAGAGAGAGAGAGAGAGAGAGAGAGAGAGACCCTCCCTCCCAGCTCGCCATGAGACATTGCCTCTCCTCCCCTCCCCTCGCCTCTTCCTTTCCTCACAAAGAGGGACAGATCTTGGTCCTCCGGACCCGTTGGGCGCTTCCGGGTGAGTTGAGGCGACGGGCAAACTCCTCCTCACTCTGCCGCTCCTTTGTTTGTCACCCCCCCTCTCCTCTTCCCTTCCTCCCCTCCTCTCAACAACATTCTTCGAAGAATAAGGAAAGAACAGAACGAGAGGGACAAGAGAAGATGGAGGAAGACGGTGGGCAGAAGAAAGTTTGTTTTGCTCCTTCGCTCGGCTCTCTCTTGCTTTCCCTTCTCTTGCCATATTCTTCTCTTCTTCTTTTTGCATAAGAAAGGAGAACTGCAAGGAACAGAGAGCTCAGGGCAAGCAAGAGGCCCGCTCTCTCATCATCTCCTCCTTTCTCGTCTTTGTTGTTTCTCTCCATCTCTTCTTCTTCCGAGCATATGATCCCCGAAGGGACCGCCCCTGAGGGGCATGCGTTTAGAACTTTCCCCCACCTGTGGTATGTTGCGGGGGTGACGCTGCAAACGGAAAAGCCAACATTGGGCTACGGGTGTGTACAGAACCACGAGCGAGGCTTTTTCTCATCCCGTTTTGTGTCTCAGCCTCCAGGCCTCCCGGGAGCCTCCCGAATGTCGGGGCCTTCAAGGCTTGTAGAATGTCCTGGGCAAGAGCTTCCAGCAGCACCCATTGCCTCTCCTCCCCTCCCCTCCTCCTCTCGCCTCTTCCTTTCCTTACAGTGAGAGACAGCAAGACATTGAGAAAAGAGATGGCAGAAGAGGGCAAAAACGAAATGTAAGACAAAGCCAAATGAAAGGGAGGAAGTCCTTCTTCCTCTGCCTACCTTCCTCCTCTTCTCTCTTTTTTTATCTTGTTCTTCTCTTTCTTATTCTTAAAAGGGTATCGAAAAAGGGAAGGGTAGGGGACGGGTCTCCCTCTCCTCTCTTCCTCTCTTACTCTCTTACTCTCTTCTTGCCTATTCATTTGAAAGGAGGCAAGGGTAGGGCATGGAACCATGAGCGGGAAGGGGCGAGAGCTGTTGAGAGAAAGTGACAGAGAATGGGCGAAATCGAGGTAAGAAAGGAAGAAAGAAGGAAAAGAAAAACACGCAAGGAAGACGAATGATTTACTGCAAGTCCCGGGGACACGAGAATACTTGGAGCATATATCCTTTCACTACTTCCTGGGACCTTCCAACAGGCTGCTAGGAATTGATCGCAAGCATCTTGCTTTTCACTCTCAATGTTTCCCACAAATCTCCCAACAAGGTTACCGGATATTGCGCTTTCCAATTAAGCACATAAGGTCTTATATGACACTTGTCAAAGCAATTGGGCATCACATCCTTACTGCAGAAAGTATACGAAACCTGGGGAAAGGGGGTGGGGGGTGGTTGAAACAGGTTTTATTTGGAAGCTGAGGCAGGTCCCTCCAGGGGACGCTGCCTTCATCTCATTCCACATTCCCGTGCAGAGAGACAGGGTGAGGGGGGAGAGAAGAGGGAGGGACAAGAACAAGTTAGGAAGAACATGTAAATTCCTGTTCTCTCTTCTTTGTTTCTCTTTCTCTTCAACAAAAAAGAAAACTGATATGGACTTCAGAAGGGGAAAGCCAAGAGCTTCCACGGTCTATGCTTCTCTCTATGCCTCGCCCTGTTTCACGCC